AGATGCCAGTAGCTGACCTCTCAGTCTGAGGCATGCAGATACACACAGACAGAGAGACTTTCCAGGACACTTTCCAGGACATAAGAATCAAATCATCACCTTAAAAAAAGTGATTTTTATTACAAAACAAAAAGATAAACTTGATAAAGCATACCTGGTTGCGAGATGTTACAGAGCAACTAAGGAAAACAAATTAAAACACAGAGAAAAGTCTCTGGGCACAATGCTAGGTGGTAAATGGGGAGGGGAGGCATAGATTCACACAGAGCAGTTCAAACCAAACTACAAAATAAAGAAAACATACCCTGAACGCGACTAGATTAACTTTTCCCTTTTACTTACTTCCCATCTTCTCTTTATTCAATCCACTGCCATTCCCCCAAATTCCTTGAAGTCATGGTAGTCCTGCCTGGGTTTAAATCATTCTGTGTCTCTCAACTCCTTGTTTTTTTCTCCCACACAAAGAAAGCAGGCAAGGAATCTCTATCCAATTCAAATTTCAACCCTCTATCTCAATTGGTTCTTCCAACCCTTGGCCAACACTTTTGCTAGTTACCTGAGTTTAACCCCTTAATCACCGGGTGCTGGTCAGCACTCCTCCTGTCCATTACAACCCACCTGACAAGCAATAGCTAGGCTGATGGAAGAATTCTTCCATTGACTTAGGCCATGTCTCCATTTACTGGAGGATCGAGGCTCTGGCAATTGATCTTCCAGGGTTCAATTTAGTGGGTCTAATAAAGATCCACTAAACCAAACACTAAGGGCACAAGTACTCCTCGTCACGAGGAGTAAGGGAAGCCAATTAGAGTGTTTCTCCCATCGACCTCCTACTGAGGAGACAGTGCCGAGCTCAGCTTAAGGTACGTTGACTCCAGCTACATTATTTACACAGCTGGAATTGTGTACTTTAAGCCGACCTCTCCCCTCAGTGTAGTCCTGACCCTGGTGTTGTTTACACAGGGATTTCAGGTGACTTAACTATATGGCTCAGAGGTCTGAATTTTTCATACACTCGAGTAATGCAACTATGCTGACCTAAATTCCTAGTGTAGACCAAGCCTAAGTATCCAACGCTCTTTTGGACATCAGATTTGGGCATTTTGGGGAATTTTACCTTTAATACACCCAGTTACTGAGATCCAATTTGATATTGCATGTATTTTTGAAAATCAGGCACTTTTTCTTTTGAACCTTTTAAAACTATGACAGGGTTCTTTGGTGGCATTAGTGAAAAGCTGACATTCTTTTAGCCAAGGTGGTTCATGACAGGTATAGAGAAATTGAATAAGGAAAAGTTATTTACTTGTTCCTATAACATAAGAACTGGGGGTCATCAAATGAAATTAATAGGTAGCAGGTATAAAACAAACAAAAAGAAGTTTTTCTTCATGCTGCGCACAATCAACCTATGGAACTCCTTGCCAGAGGATATTGTGAAGATCAGGACTTGAACAGGGTTCAAAAAGGAACTAGATACATTAATGTAGGTTAGGTACATCGATGGCTATTAGCCAGAATGGGTAGGAATGGTATTTCTAGACTCTGTTTACCAGAAGATGGGAATGGGCAACAGGGTGGATCATTTGACGATTCCCTGTTCTGTTCATATCCTCTGGAGCATCTGGCATTGACCACTGTTGGAAGACGGGATACTGGGCTAGATGGACTTTTGGTCTGACCCAGTCTGGCCTTTCTCATGTAAGGACTACTGATAGGAGCTGCACTCACAACTGTGTGAGCCAGAGAGGGGAACCACATAGCTCTCTTTTATGCTCATCCCTTCAAAGGATTTAAAATGTGGTGTACTTGTACACAGTAAGCAATATTTAGCCTAATATATCCCACTCTTAATTAGATTATTGTTATAGGAGATGGGGAGAGGCAGTTTTCTTTTTAAGACACAGGCCCAAGTTACATTCCCAATCCATCAAAGGCTTCCTCTGTCACTCCAGGGAAGTCTCTCAGAGAAAGATTTTCAAAAACTGGTGCTTAAAGTTAGGCTCCCAATATTTAGACATTGAAATAAGTGACCTGATTTTCAAAAGAGATAGGGACCGATCAACTCCCATTGATCTCTGGTGGATCTGTGGTTGCGTGGTCCTTCTTGGGGGGGGGCGGGGAGGGAATCAAGCCCTTAAATCTTCTATTCCTCCATTCCTCCCTTCCCTCCTCATCTCTCCCACCCCTCCAAAAGTATGTTATAAGGTGCAGTTCATTAATGTTGTAAAATTGAGATCACAGAACGGAAAGGCAACACAGAAGTGCTAGACTCGCAGTGGTCTCCAACCTTTTTACACCCAAGATCACTTTTTAAGTCTCAGAACAGGTGAAGATCTACTGTCCCACCCCTTCCTTGAAGCCCCGCCTACATTACATGAGGAAATCTAATGTAAATGTACTGCGCAGGTGCGCAGTTCAGAGAGGGCTCAAGAGCTACTCTTAGAGCCCCTGAGATCTACTGGTAGATCGCGATCTACTTGTTGGTGACCATGGTGCTAGAGTATTCAATTATTGGGGCCCACTCTGCACTGCCAATGAGGAAGCTGTTAAGCTCAGCAGAGAGCTCAAAAGCTGCTCAAAGGTAATGAATTGATGAGTTCCAGAGGGAATCTTGCTTGGTCTTCTTATGCAGAGTTTATGTCTAGTATACTGGGCTTAAAAAGAAACAACAAAACTAATACTGGTTTATATTAGTGGAGATCAGAAACCTTGTTTTAATGGTTTCTGAAAGACCCATCTTAGAAACAGGTATGAATTACAGCCACATTAGTATGAAGAAGCATCACAGAAAATACCTCTTTGTATTTTGAAACTGACCAGTAATTGATTTTTAAATAGCTAAAGTTTTATAGACAATATAAATCAAAATTGGATTTGGGGATTATTTTTTCCAGTATTGCTAAATATAAAAAGAAATGAGCCTATCAGTTTGGAAACCTTGACATTTAAAATATTCTTACCCTGGCATCAGTTCCCGAACCTCTCTTATCTCCAGTCTTCACAGTGACTTTATAAATCACCTTGTTGTGCACTGCAGAACTGGATCTGTTGCTAGTGCTCTTGGACCGGGATGCACTTTGGTGGTGTTTCTTCCCATGATCAGACTTCAGAAATTAAAAAAAAAAAAAAAAAAGAGGGAAAAGAGGGAAAAGAAATTATTTCTGAGAATCCTTCTGGGTTTTGGTGTTTGGAGGTTTTTTGGGAGGGGAAGGAGGGAAACCAGGGCTTTTTTATTATTGGGTTGTGGGTTGTTGTTGCTGGTTTTCAGTTGAGGAGGAATGGAGCTTGTTTTGTATACACAAATAAAGCAAGTTGGTTTTTTTAACATTTGGAATCTTTGGCATAAATTAATTCCTACTCTCTCCTAACTGTCTAATAAATTATGTGATACAGTACAAAATCTAATGCTAAATATAATGACAAAGCCCCATTATTATTATTTTACAAAATCAACTGTAAGAGAATGGTACTGACATGCAGATGGGATGTACGACATTCTGACTACTTGTGACTATCAAAGATCTCACAGAACATTTTTGCAATAGCCTAAATGTAGGGTTCATCTAGGGTGCGTCTAGACTATAGGGTTTTTATGAAAAAAAAAAGTGGCCTTTTTTTGAAAAAACTTCCCCTGCATCTAGACTGCCACCGTGTTCTTTCTAAATTAAATCAAAAGAATGCGGCAGTTTTTTCAACCACAGTAAACTCATTTTACGAGGAAGAACGCCTTTTTTTTGAAAATGCTCTTTCAAAAAAAGGAGTTCTTGAATGCAAACAGGCTTTTTCAAAAGAGAGCATCCAGACTGCCTGGGTGCTCTCTTTCGAAAAAGCGGCTCGCTTTTTCGAAAGAAGTGGTTGCAGTCTAGACGCTCTCTTTCGAAAGAGGCTTGTAGTCTAGATGTACCCCTAGACTACATGGAACGGTCAAAAGAAGATATGCAAATTCTGCAGGACTTTGCATATCTTCTTCGAATCGCACTTTTGAAAGCAGAACTTGCAAAAGCGAAAGTAGTTTAGATGTGGCTTTTTCGGAAACCCCCCCTCTTTTGTCGAAAAGCCGCAGAAAAGCCACATCTAAACTACTTTTACTTTCAAAAGCGTTATAGGAAGAAGATATGCAAATTCCTGCGGAATTTGCATATCCTCTTTCGACTGTTCCTGGTAGTCTAGATAAGCCGTGTCTTGATGATCTTCCAATTTAATAATCACATTCTGCTTGCTTAAAGTCCTCCTAAAGTTTGGACACTATATTATTTTACTATCCATCTTCCAGTGTTATGCAATGTTATTGCCTTCATTAAACATTTTACCTAAAAGAAGCTGCATTTCAGCAATGTATGGAGAGACTGTTATATTTGTATATATTATATGCACACAGCTGATAAGAGCTTTAGAATTCTTCAGGATGAAAGGTTAACTAAATGCATAATATTATTCCTACTAGCATGGAACAGAAAAATAAACTGAAATAAAATAGTATGTACAATTGATACTCACCTGCAATCCAAACTTTCTAGCATAGTAGTCAAACAAGTGAGGATCATTCATTGGACTATACTGTGGCAGCACATCAACACAACCTTTTCTATACTTATGACCACTCAATCCAGCACTTAAGGTTCGTGCTACAGAATCAGAATAAATAAAAGGCATTTTACAAAAAGTATAGAAGAACATTTCTTCATGTCATTACATAGGTTACTAGTTTAGGATACTACCGCAGCAGTATTACATTTGATGACATATTTGTATCTGGATTACATGAAGATAGTAAATGGGACTTTTTTAAAGAATTACAAAGAACAAATTGCACATAGTTCCTTTAATCTCTCTTCTGCTACTATTTTTTCATCTGTTGGTATTATTACTGCATCTATAAAATGGCTAGTTAATGGAAATTAAGAAATACTGAAGAGTAATTATAGCGATAAGGAACATTCACATCCTATTTTGTCTTTCTAGTTATAATATTCTCTTTTTTGCAGAAGTTGGATTCTGTAGCCACAGCATTTGGTGACAGGAGAAACAAATTTTAAAGAGTTTTCCAGAGACAAGGTGAATGAAATAATAACTTTTACTAGACCAATTTCTGTTAAAAGCTATTACAAGCTTTCCAGTCAGTCTACACTGCACAGTTATTTCAGAATAAGCTAGTCTGGAATAGTTATTCCGAAATATCTTATTTTGAAATAGTACGTCTACACTGCAGGGAAGCCTCAAAATTAGTCCAAGGCGGGCTTCGTTAATGTAGACGTGCTATCTCAATTTAGAGCCCCTGGAGGAATAACTTAGAATGGCCCTAGTAAGGGGCTATTTCAAAATAGCAGAAGTGGAGCATCTACACACGCCTTATTTAGAAATAGCTATTCTATTCTTCATAGAATGAGGTTTACAAAAGTCAGAATAAGCCGTTTTATTTAACAGAATTGCTGTGTAGATGCTCGCATAGTTATTTCGGAATAAGAGCTATTATTCCAAAATAACTTTGCTGTGTAGACACGCCCATACAGAGCTCTTCCTCAGCTGAAGAACAGCTCCATGTCGCTCAAAAGCTTGTCTCTCTTATCAGAACAACTTGGTTCTATAAAAGATATTACCTCATGCATCTTATCTCTCAAATATCATGGGACCAATACTGCATACACAAAATTTTCCAGACATTTAATGTGAGAATGATTGGGTTCACTTTCCCCAAAGATATTAAATCTCCTTATGATAAAGATGAAGCTTCCTATTCATAGAACTAATTAATTTACAAATCCAAAGCTCATCAGCCATCTCAATTAAAATTTGCACTGCACAGGATTAAAATAACATATATCACATAGGATGAACTGTACACAAGCTGCAAAGGGCCTGGTCTCCCAATGAGAAGTGAATGTATTTAGCACCTCCCAAGACTGAGCCCTAACCACATAAACTATACAGGCTTTCAAGAGGATTGATAAATATTTTAAAAAAGAAAAGGCAAAAACCATAGAAATCAAAAGTTATAGCAAAGTCAGGGGGGTATATAATATGTCTCAGCCGGCTCTTCGCAACAAGAGCTCAGAAGCAGCTAACATCATGCCTGAGAATTCATTGCTAAAGGAATGTCTACTCTAAATAATGCAGAAGGATTAACAGCAGAGGTGAAAGTAAGCTGGTATGGCCCAGTACGCTGTATGGGCAAGAAAGTGGCTAAGAAGGCTATGAGTATCAGAAAGACAACATAGCACCCCCCAGGCCCTCCACAGAGCTGCCTCTCCTCCATCTCCCTCAATACAGCAGCAGCTCCGCAGAAGAACAGAGCTGGAGTTGGGGGGAATGCAGCGATACGGCAGAAGAGCTGCCGGGGTTCTTTTCCTTTCCTCATTGCCTGCCCCTCTCAGCAGGCAAAGGAGCAGAATCCCAGCCTTGTCCGCTAACAGGGCTGATGCTCTATGGAGCTGGAGGAGAGGCAGGGAGGGGTTGGGGCTTCTGCTCCTTTTCCTGCTGGCTAGGGCAGAGTGGGAAAGCAGTGATACTGCTGGCAGCTCCTTCTCCCACCAGGATTGAGATGGGATGGGAAGGGTAGAGAGTGGGGGCCCATGGCTGGGACAGAGTCATGTACGGATTCACATGGTGGATTTGTGTGGGGCCCCCATTAGCTGGTGTGCCACCCCATGCCAGGAAGAAAATTTTACTTTCACCCTAGTTAACAGGTAAGCTGGCTTTACAGTCTGGGGGAATAATAGTTGTTGGTCTACTATAGAAATTCCCACCTTAGAGGCAGGGATCGAGTATTTGCATACGGCTTCTTTGCTATTAAAGTGATGGGCACAGTACAAAAACTTGAGTAGAATGAACTAAGTGCAGCTCATGGTCCACCTCCCGTTACAAATCTGTAGTCTTCTAAGAACTTGCTCAGTTATCAGTACACCATTTTCCATAGCAACTCCACTAACGTGCCAAGAAAAATGCCACAGGGGAGTCTGGGGCACACTGAAGGCAAAGCAATTGCAACTGACTGAAAATGTGCATAGTATTAAAATGTCTGAGACCCCACGACCCACTGTACTGCTTCAGGAGTGTGGCTACTTGGTACAAAATGTTTCGAAGAAGTGGGTCTGCCCCACGAAAGGGCATCACAAAATAAACTTTAAAGTGCTACATATGTTTTCCTTTTGTTTTACCAAAATCAGACTAACACGGCTACCTCTCTATTACTAAATCCTTCTGGGCACCTTTGTCTTATTTGGATATATGTCACAGACAGTGGTGCAAGCAGGATTTAGTTTATTTAATAATAAGAACATTGAAACCCACAGTCAAAACTGCATCTTTTCCAAAGATATTTAGTATATTTAACTCTTAACACCTCATTCAGGTTGTTCTAGCCAGGGTATCACAAGATCATTACTATTTTTACTGCGTCAGCAGACACAGAAATATCTGCTTACCTGCAAAAGGTGCTTTTCTGCTCAGCACAGATTCAACAGGCCTGTGATTCAAAGTTACTCTGTATTTCTGGAGGGACTTGGTTGAAGTTTCTGATTTGTTGCGTGGGTCGTTCCAAATAGGTTTGTTCCGCAGAGGTGAAACATCTCTGAACTGGAATCCTAATCAGAATCAAATAGTCATCAGTACTGTGTGGCAACAACTTCTCAAAGTAACAGATGACATTCCTCACCTCAAAGAGTTTGTAATCTAAAAAGCATTGTAGGCTTTGGTGACAGAAGTGAGCCCTTCAGAGAGACGTGTGCAGAGAGGGTGTGGTTTGGTGAGCTTGGACTAGAAGGTACTGTGTGTGTAACACACACACACATATCAGTGTGAGTTACCATGTTTCCCTCTGTGTCTAATCCACAGAAGACATGAATCTGATAGAGTCCCCCAGCTACAGAGCCCAGCTGTTCTGATAAAGCTGTCAAGAGCCACCTGTTTTGCTCTGGGAGTTCCCCTGTGTAGTCCCTAATGTGGTGGCTGCAGTCTTAGCCAATACAAACTGGGCCATGTATAACCCAGCCTTACACAGCCTGGCTCTCTTTTCCCCTGTAGTGATGGGTGTATAACAGCCTTTACGCTCACAGATCTCTAGACTTTTTAGCGCAGGCAGTAGAGGCTCCAGTTTTTAGATTCAGTGCTGAAGGCTGGAATGTCATCACCTTGGTAATACTGTTCGGACTGCTAGTGCTTCTGTCCTTGGACTGGCAGATAATGCTAATTCAGCAGACCACCATGTAACTCATAAAGAACAATTATAGGCCCAGTTTGGTGACAAAGGCACTCGGCCATGTCCATTGCCTTCAAGACACACTCTGAGTGCCCTGGCTCCATGTCACAGGTACACTAACATTTGAGTGCCCAGTGACAAGGTGTGACTAAGTCAGTAGCAAGAGTATCTGCTATCCCCTAGGGTGCACAAAGAATTGAGGTGAGATGCTCCAACTTTATAGACTAAAACAAACAACTGGGATACACAGCTTACGTACCGCCTTATGTATTTCACGACATCTCTTTGTTCCTGATATATCAGACCTATTTATTGCTCTGTCACACCATCTTATCTTGTACTAGATTGGGGTGTATCTGTACTAGCCTTCTGAACTGTATTTACAGAAATATCTGGTGTGTTATTTTGCCAAGGCCAGACTTACTCAGCAGAAGAAGTACCTGTCAGTTGTAGGACCCATGTTAATGAGGCTAATTTAAGCTCACCTTGCTCAACTTGTATATTTGCCTCATTAACATGGGTCCTAAAATTGACAGGTACCTCTGCTGTTATATATATCTTGGTTTCTGTTCTTTCCCGTCCAGCTCTTCTAATGAAGTGGGTTTTACCCATGAAAGCTCATGATCGTATATATTTTTGTTAGTCTCTAAGGTGCAACAGAACTACTTGTTGTTTTCACACAGATCAAATATTTTGTGCATACTTAAATGGCCAGGTATGCATCTCACTGGTTAGCTACACCTGCAAATACACAAGTTGAACATGCTCTCTTTGTAAATGAATGCACAATTCAGTGGACTTTAAGAAGAGTTGCGGTAGTTCTGCTTTATTTTTTCCTACATAAACCCAGTGTAAGTAATTGTTACTTGGGGAAGGCAAGGAGTCTGTGCATCTCTCTCTTTACCCTGAGAAAGGGGGAGAACTTTATACAGCATAAGATGGATTTATCTGGGGTTCAGGTCCCACTGAGGCTGTGAATTTGGGTGCTGATGCAAGTCCTCTTAGCTGAGCTTTCCCAGAGCTGAGCTGATCTCAGTGTCTGTGTTATACTGCAGAGGGCTGTGACCCCATCTCTGAGTCACTGCTGGAGGATGTCAGAGGACCAGGGTCAGCAAGACAGAATTAAGAGGGGCTCAGGAGGAAAGGAAGATGGGCTCAGTGGGATTTCTGCACATCACGTGACAGTCCGCAGGGCATCTCTGTGACCGAACTCATCACAAGAAGGATGCTTACACTATAAGGGATCTGCTTTTCTTGTTGTATGGGTTCACTTGCAAAAGTTTCCAGTGTGCACTGACAGACAAACTCAACTTTAAGACTCTATCAGTTGCAACTTGTGTTCCTCAGCCACAGCATAAACCAAAAAATTGCAATGACAGCATGTAGCAATTACTGGAGAGACTCTATTGCACACTCTTACCTGTGGACGGTCGTATCCGTGGTGCAGTGTCACTGGGATAGGGGTCTCTGGGCCTCGTGCTCTCAAATACACACTGTGCTGTTTGGGGATGCAAAATCCCGGTCACTGAAGGAGAGGAGTTATAATACTGCGTTTGGGTTGGCATTTTCAGTCAGCGTCTAGTTGATCATGAGCAACAGGGCCAGCAAATCTTGACAGGGACTGGGTCCTGTTAAATTCCTCAGGAGTCAGTACCTCTCCTGCATTAGTGAAATAGCAAGAACAACATGTAAACCAAGTATTCAGAATGGTATTACCAGCATACACAATGGAAGGTATCTGTAAAGAAACGCATACATAGGCACCAGAATGAGGGGTTGTAGATGCACCCCATGCCCTTTGGGGGCATATGTTGTGTGTGTTGCAAACACATCTACCACCACGTTTTGATAGAAAGGGTTTAGATACACCTAGCACCATGATGGCAGAAGGGAGTTTTTCCTAAACTAGGCAACCTTATTTGGAGGCAGGGGATATACCATTGCAAAACATTCTGTCTGGGGGGAGGGGTACAGATACACCTGTCCGGGGGGAGGAAGGGGTACAGACATGCTCTCAGAGGGAGAGGAGTACAGAGACACCTGTCTGAGGGCAGGGGTTCAAACACACCTATTGTAGGGAGGGATTCAGACACACCTGTCTGGGTGAAGGGGTGCAGACACAGCTGTCAGGGGGGAGGGTGCAGACACACCTTTCCACGGGGAGAGGGGGTGCAGATACACATGTCGGGAGGGAAAGGGGTGCAGACAACTGCCCTGGGAGGAGAGGGGTGCAGACACACCTGTCCACGGGGAGGGGGGGTGCAGACACGCCTGCCCGGGGAGGAGAAGAGTGCAGACACGCCTGCCCGGGGAGAGGATGCAGACACACCTGTCCAGGGGGAGGAGAGGGGTGCAGACACACCTGTCCAGGGGAGGGGGTGCAGACACCCCTGTCCGGGGGGAGGAGGGGGCAGACACACCTGTCCAGGGGAGGGGGTGCAGACACCCCTGTCCGGGGGGAGGAGGGGGCAGACACACCTGTCCAGGGGAGGGGGTGCAGACACCCCTGTCCGGGGGGAGGAGGGGGCAGACACACCTGTCCAGGGGAGGGGGTGCAGACACCCCTGTCCGGGGGGAGGAGGGGGCAGACACACCTGTCCAGGGGAGGGGGTGCAGACACCCCTGTCCGGGGGGAGGAGGGGGCAGACACACCTGTCCAGGGGAGGGGGTGCAGACACCCCTGTCCGGGGGGAGGAGGGGGCAGACACACCTGTCCAGGGGAGGGGGTGCAGACACCCCTGTCCGGGGGGAGGAGGGGGCAGACACACCTGTCCAGGGGAGGGGGTGCAGACACCCCTGTCCGGGGGGAGGAGGGGGCAGACACACCTGTCCAGGGGAGGGGGTGCAGACACCCCTGTCCGGGGGGAGGAGGGGGCAGACACACCTGTCCAGGGGAGGGGGTGCAGACACCCCTGTCCGGGGGGGGAGGGTGCAGACACACCTGTCCAGGGGGAGGGGGGTGCAGACACACCTGTCCGAGGGCGGCAGCGGCGCGCGGGAGCTAGCCCCAGGCCGGATTGCTCGCTGAGCTGCGGCTGCTGGAGAAGTTGCTAAGGACGCTGCTGGGCGGGGCCGGAGCGGGCCGCAGAAGGCAGAGGACCGGGCCGGGGCGGTCTCTGCTTCGGGGGCGCTCCCGGCACAAGCCTCCCCCCTCTTCAGTGCAAGAATAAGGCGAGTTTGCCGGCAGCTTGCTCCAGTGGCTCCAGCTGCACAGCTTCCCCGCGCGGGGCTGTTGCACTAGGGGGGCAGCTGCGATGCAATCTCTCCTTTCTTTTATATGCATTAGCATCATGCCCAGAAGCCTTGGACACGGTCCCACGGAAACAGCCAGGAGAGTTGAACTGCGGGTTCTGTGGGGCTGGGGAGCATCTTTGAGCATCTTTTTGTTCTAGGTGTGTAAAGTGCCCTGCACAAAAGCAACTCTGATTATTTGAGGAGGCCTCTAAACTCAACTAAAATGCAAATACTTAGTTATGCCCACACTCCAGATCCCAAATTTGCTGCTGAGCCAGACGTGGTCTTCCAGATATTGACAGCAAAAAGAGGAAATTCAAAATACACTTTTTCTGGTTTCTTTATACATCTTTAAAAAACAACACAGGCCTCAAATCCTTCCCATCCCCTCTGTAGATCACTTTCCTATATTTTGTGTTATGAATGAAGTTATTGTGACACATCAAAGAAATTGTGGGAATTATTATTATTAAGATATTACAACACTAATTTCACAATAAATTCCTTTATTGAAGCCAAACGCCAAATGGTATTTACATAACTGCTCTAAATGTGCCTAAATAGGCACCATCATAAGCAATTTGCTGTACCAAAACAGTAACAAAACATTGAAACTCTGGACTGCTTACCTCCATATTGCTCAGCAGGTATTAGCCATAAATCCTTTGTGATAAGAGTTTTTGCCTCAGCTGCCCAGAATGCCCTATTACACTTTCAATTGGAAATCTACAGGAAAACCTCAGAAAGGGTTTAAATTCACCAAGATTATAGTTTGCTTCATTGAAGATAAAATGGGTGGTGATGGTATCAGGAACCTTTAAAATGCTTAAAACAGTAATTAAATCTCTAGATACAAATTTAAGAATACTTTAAATTAGAAAATATAGTAATGGCAACTATAGGGTTCTGTAAGGTGGTGGGAAATCCCATCGGAATGAATGGGAGCCCATAGAAACAATAGGGATGATGCAATTAAGGCAAATTATTGCATCCCTTCCTGTGGAGAATGACTCAGCAAAATCCCATACAGATACATTGTAGCCCATAGAAACAAATAGACCATCCAGACAGGAAACAACCAGGGTTCATCTAAAGATCAGCTGAAAAACCTCAGAGGAATACATTGAACCCATAAAGATACATGACACAGGATAGGAGCTTTCTATACATTTGACTAATGAACTTGTGCTAATTAGCAATCAACACATGCTAATTCCTGTGAGTTAATTAGTTGAGCTTGAGTGACACATGTCAGTGGACATACCATCAATTAGCATATACAAATTCCTGAAAGCTGATTGGCTGATTTACAATAATAAATTAATAGCTAATGAGCAGTAATTGTATCTAAAGGCGACAACCAGAAGGCTACATCTGGTACAGGATGGGGGTCCGAAGAAGAATGGAATGCTTCTAGACACCTGGAAGAAAGAAGATGTATAAGGCGCTGTGAGGCAACCACACCCAGAGAATCTTTTGGGTAAGAAAGCTAACTATTGCCTTCCAGCAGCAGAGTAGCTAGCTACCTATTGTCACCAGCATCACCATCGGTCTCAAAGCAGCTACTACAGCAGTAGCAGCATCACAAGCAATGACTTTTAGTAAATCACTAATACCGTCATTCCCTGGCAGCGACAGCACCTTGCCTGCGCTCACTAGCCTCCGTCCCTGGCAGCGACAGCATCTCGCCCGCACTCGGTAGCCTCTTTCTCTGGCAGCTATCACACCAGTGGCATGAGTCCTCTCAGCATACTGAGGTTGCCTGTGTCAATGGCTATTTCTGCCACTCTACCAGTAGGAAGCCACCGTAGGCTTCTATATCTGCTACCTGGGGAGGAACTTCCCCTCCGTGAAAGCCACTACCACTGCAGCTACACTACCACCACAGCCACCACGTGTGACAATCTCTACCTGCTAACACAGCAGAAGGAGCTTTGTAAGACGGCTGAAAGGGATTTTTAAGAAGGCTTCTCTGTTTATTTTCTTCTATTTTAACATCCTAGAGCATGTAGGTTTCAAGTATAAATAAAACTGGATGTCTGTGGTCTGCGATCGCTCCCTACACATTCAATAATTGCCAGGCCAATGCTCAGGAGCGATGTATGGGGGAGGCATGAAGGGGCACGTGCCCACCTCCAATGCTAAAAACGACGTTGAGACAGCTCACCATTAGTTGCAGTCTTAATCCAGTGAAGATTTACAGCCACCTTTCCCCCATGGACTTTTCTCCCTGTCTTTTCCACTCCCCCTTGCTGACCAACATTTCTCTCATTGCTCATGGGTTCACACAGGCCCTAACATTTGAGATAACTCTGGTACGATGGTAGGTAGTACTGTCAGCTCTTTTTTAAAACAGATTCTCCTTGTCTTATGTCAGACCATCAGCAGCCACCCGTATCAGTCAAAAGGCTTCCTTTTTAGAAATTTCCCCTTAGTTCCTTAGTTACTCTTTGAACTAGACATCCTCCCTACTTCTTTCCTTCTGGCCTGACAACTCATTATATTCTAGGCCTTTCTTTTCGTTGGTAGTTAGAGCTTTTCTTTACAACTTTCCCCACAACAACCCTCTCTTGTATTCTTTAATCTCTACGGGAAAGAATTAATGGACACATCAGATATCTGAAAAGGGAATACACAAAAACCTGTTGGAGATCATTTTAATCTTCCTGGACACTCATCGATGGATCTCCAAGTTGCCATTTTGTTTCAATCCAATTTCACAAGCCAAATACACAGGGAAGGATTGGAACTCAACTTCATTCACAAGTTTAATTCTTATGCAAATGGTCTGTACAGTGATATAGGATGGCTGGTACACTATCTTCCACCTTTTAAAGATTTGACCAAACAAACAATGGAGGTGCTAATGGTTCTTAACAGCGTCTTGTAACTATTTGAACTCTCTACTCACTGTCTCTCTTTTTCTTTTTCCTCTCTCCTTTTTCCTTCTCCCTCCTCCCCTTCCCTTATTTATTCTTGGATCTGGCCTTTAATACTCCAGCCATCTAAAGAAGTGGGTTTTGCCCACGAAAGCTCATAATACCATTTACATGTTTTGTTAGTCTTTAAGATGCTACTAGACTATTTGTTGTTTTTTACATTTTTCGTGTTACAGACTAACTCAGCTACCCTTCTGAAGCTTGTATGCTTTAGTTCAGCCCCATCACTAAACCATGGATACCACAGTGATGGGAACTCTAGGAACATGAAAATAATTATATCTTATCTCCCCTGTTCTGCTCATTTCCCATGGCAAGCTTCTCCTTCCCCTCCGTGATGCAAAGCATATTTCCATAGGATCATCTGCATATAAATAAATGGGAATGCCCTTATTTCATGTTCTGTTGTGGTCTGTTCTAGATCAATTCTTCACTTCTTCTGCCCCGATTGTGTAGCTGAATGCCTTCCAGTAGTGCATTAAAAAATGTGATTAACATTTGTTGTGTTGCTGGTTCTCTTCCTCAGCTTCCCCCAGGGGAGAATGTGTGTACAGCAAAGTGTTTTGGGCAGAGATTTGGTTGTGAGGTTTGTTTGCTTTTTAACATACATGCAGTTATGATTTTATGTGTGAGAAGGCAGGTCAAAGAAGCACGCTTTGCGCTTGGAGTGAAAATCAGAGAAGTATGAGATGGCCCTTCGCTCCTGAGGAAGTTTGTTAGGCTGTGTAGGACCAACCTCCCAAGAAAGCTCTGTGGTTGCACAGACAAGCTTTATCGTGATGTCTGAACGCTCAATTGTGCCTGAGGAGTATAAGGGTGCATCTAGACTGGCAAGATTTTGCTGCGCAAAAACTTGCCAGCTGTCTACACTGGCCGCTTGAATTTGCGCAAGAGCACTGACTTTGTAATGTACAAAATTAGTGCTTCTTGTGCAAATACTTTCACACTCCCACTCAGGGATAAGCCCTCTTGCACAAGAATACTTGCGCAAGAGGGCCAGTGTAGACAGACACCTTAATTTTTTGCGCAAGAAAGCCCGATGGCTAAAGCCTTTTTGCGCAAAAGCATCCTTGCCAATCTAGACGCTCTTTTGCGGAAATACTTTTAATGGAAAAACGTTTCCGTTAAAAGTATTTCAGCAAAATCATGTCAGTCTAGATGCAGCCTAAGGGTACGTCTACACTACAGCGCTAGTTCGAACTAACTTAGTTCGAATTAGTTAATTCGAACTAAGCTAATTCGAACTAATGCGTCTAGTTCAAATTAGCGTTTTGCTAATTCGAACTAGCAAGTCTACATTGAGTGGACTCTGAACAGGGCTTAAGGATGGCTGGAAGCAGTGCCGGCAGGGCATAAGAGGAGGACTTAGAGCATGGAGATGCTGTCTCAGGCTAGCCGCTTAAAGGGTCCCGACCCCCACCCCGGACACACAGTTCTAAGGGGTGCCCCGCTTGCCAAGAAGTTCTGGCTTGGAGTGCCCGGAGTACCCACACTGGGCACATCACACCACTCGGCCATCAGCCCGGCTGCACTTGCCGCAGGCTTCCATCTGGGGAGATGTTCAGCTTAGAAAAGAGGAGACGGAGGGGGGACAGGTTAGAGGTCTCTAAAAGCAGGGGTTGGGTGGAGAGGGTGCATTCAGAAAAGTTCTTCATGAGTTCCCATAAAGAAGGAGTAGAGGACACCAAAGGAAAGGAATGGGTAGCAGGCTTCAAACTAGTAAGAGAAAGTTGTTCTTGACAAAGCAAATAGTTAACCTGTGGAACTCCTTGCTGCAGGAGGCTGTGAAGGCTACAACTAGAACAGAGTTTAAAGGGAAGTAACATCAAGTCATGGAGGTTGGGTCCATGGAG